AAACCCACAAATAGAAAGACTGTTTGCAAGAGACAGTAAACCTTTTTCCATGACAATCAGAGCTGCAAGTTAGAAATAATTTTGTATATTGGCTTTAATTTCTCAAGGTACTCTGCATTCTTTCCCAACTCAATTGCATTTTATTCAGTAGCATAAGGGTCTAATCAAGTTATCAGCAACTACCAAGGCACGCATTTGCATTGAGTGCATTTGCATTGATCTCTGTCATCATCTTGGTGCAGATAATATTCGTCATTCAAGCTGTGCAAATGTTATTATTACAATGAATTGGCAAACTTGATCCAATAGACATGGCTTCAGAGCTGTATGGCAAAGGCCCAAACAAGCTGTTATTTAGAGTTAAAAAATCTTGGTTAATCTTTTAGAAAACCAACCTTTAACAAATTGTTCTGTAGATGCTAACAGTCTATAGTCATCAATTAAAGCACAACAAGCAGTGCCATTAAACCACACAACTAGAAATGCGCAAGAGAAAATCTAAACTCAAATTGAAGTATATTTGAGCAGCACAGATTAAAATAGACTTTGTGATTTATTTGTAGGGTTAGAAAAATTTGTAAACATGGAGTTTTTAATAAAAACATATATAGTTTTGTGATATTTCTCACATTTGACCAATCAAACCAATTAACTAACTGCATCGAAGAGCCACAATCTGCTCAACAAACATCTGATGTCATAAATTGTTACTTAATTACACTGTTTTGCTCTCCAAAGGTGAGGTTTTGCCATTAAATGTGGGTCAGCATGACTCAGTTGGTAGCAATCTCACCATCTGAGTCAGATGGCTGGTGCTTCATACTCCACATCAGGGGTTTAAACTCACAGTCAAGGCTGATACTCTAGGGCAGTGCTTCAACTACAAATATTGTCACTGCACTTTACAATAAATCCTGTGCAGCACTTTGAGATGGTCTGATGTGAGAGGCACTGTACCAAATGCAAGGAATGATTTTTAATTATTGCTATTAATTTAATAAATTAATTTAATACATTAAATTAACAAACTCAACACCTCATTACTAGTCTATCATTCAAATTAATAAAAAGCTGCTACAAGGGCATTTTACCAAATGGATACATTAATTCTACTACCTGCCCATCATCATTGAAATGGATCAATTTAAAATTATTTTTGGCAGAAGAAACAAATAGATTGTTGGTCTGTCACATAACCTTTGATCTGTCTTCAATATTCTGTCAGGGCTTTGCAATGTGCAAATCAATAGGAAATGGTGAAACAGTACAGATTGTTATTTCTGAATAATCCTTGCATTTGACATAACACCTTATGACATCTTAGAAATGTGTCAAAGCGCTTCACGGGATACACTGTAAAATGGATTGACTATATTTTGTGGGCAAAATGCAGCAGCCAGTTTGTGCACCGCAATGTCCCACAAACAGCCATGAAGTGAGTGACCAATTATATTTAGGTGATTGTTGGCCAGGACAATGGGAGAAACTCCCTTCTCATTTTGAAATAGTGCCATGGGATCTTTAATGTCCATCTGAACAGACAGAAAGGATCCTTGTTATATCAAATGCAAGGATTTTTATTATATAACCTGGGATCATCCTCATAAACCTATGCTGCACTCTTTCCATCACTGCTATATCTTTCTTATAGTGTAGACCAGAATTGGACACAATATTCCAAATGTTGTCCAACTAAGGTCTTACACAAATTAACATCACCTCCTCACTTTTATATTCTGTTCCTCTGAATACAAAGGCCAACACCCCACTTGCCCTTTTTATAGCGTTGTCTCGCCGAGCAGTTACCTTTAGAGATTTATGGATCCAAATCCCCAGATCTCTTTGCTCCTCTACCTCTCAGGTTGTTACCCATTTTCTGTGAAAGTGAATTACTTCACATTTTACTATGTTGAGGGGTGGTGTAGGGTGAGGGAAGGCAGAGAAGTGGGAGGGCAACCGAAGGCACGGTTGAAGAGGAGGGTCTTGAGACCAGCCTTGAAGGAGGCAAGGGAGGAAGCGAGGCGAAGGGACCGTGGGATGGAGAGTACACGAGCTGCAGAGTTTTGGATGAACTGTAACTTGTAAAGGTAAGAGTTGGGAAGGCCAATGAGGAGGGAGTTTCCGTAACCGAGCCTTGATGTGATGAATGTGATGAATGCACGGGTGAGGGTTTCGGCAGCCTGAGGGGTGAGGCAGTGGTGGAGTCTGGCAATGTTGCGGAGGTGGCAGTGCTGGTCATGGCGTGGATGTGGGGGAGAAAGGACAGTTCAGGGTCAAAAAAGACCTCAGGTTCCTGATTGGCTTAGTGAGGTTGAGTGTGCAGCCGTGGAGGCTGATGCTGCCAGCGCCTGAGGTACGGAGGTGCTGGCGCGAGCCACTCAGGAGAGCCTCGGTCTTGCTGATGTTCAGTTGGAGAAAGTTGACCCTCATCCAGGACGATGTTGGTCAGGCAGTCGGTCAGGACGCCAGTAGTCCTGGAGTTGAGGGTGGAGGCAGAAAATAAAGTTGGGTGTCATCCACATACATCTGAAAATTTTCCCCACGTCTGCGGATGACGTTACCAAGGGGGAGCATGTAGAGGGTGAAGGGGAGGGGACAGAGGACAGAGCCCTGAGGGACACCGCAATTGAGACGAGGTGGAGGCGGTATGAAAGGTAGGACCTGAACCAGTCAAGGACAGAACTTTGAAGGTTGAAGTGGGAGGAGAGGTGGTGGAGGAGGATTGAATGATCCACAGTATCAAAGGCGGCAGAGAGGTGAGGAGGATGAGCAGAGGGAGCAGTTTCCGTGCTATGGGCAGCACAGAAACCCGATTGGAGGGGTTCATAGAGGGAGTGGGAGGAAAGAGCAAAGCTGGGAGGCAACGGCCCTCTCAAGGACCTTGGGCAGGAAAGGTTAGAGATGGGCTGGTAGCTGGATAGGTGTGATGGATTAAGGGAAGGTTTCTTCAAGGTGGGGGTGATAGTGGCTGTTTTGAGGGGGGTAGGAACAGTGCCAGATGACAGGGAGAGGTTGATGATGTCGGCGAGTAGTGGGGCAAGGAGGTGGAGCTGGGATTTAAGGAAAAGGGTGGGGATGTGGTCCACGGAGCAGGTGGTGGGCTTCATGGAGAATATGGTGGTGAAGACAGAGGAGGGGGTGACAGGTTCAAAGGTGTGGAAGGAGGGGTGGATAGTTGCCGGAGTGTGGGTAGGGATTAGGGAGGGGGTGGAAGTTGGGAGGGCAGTGGCAGCTGAGCTAATTCCCTGGATTTTGGACTCAAGGAAGTCCAGCATTTTCTCACAGTGGGAGTAAATGAAGCTTATTTACTCAGAGTATAGAAGGAACAGTGATTTAGTTTGAAAAACATTGCCAATGAAGCCATCAGGTCAAAAGAAGCATCACAGACACTGAGTTTAGATGCAAACACGAGGGGCCAAATGGATGCTTTTGTTTTTGAAAAACCTTCATACATTTCAATAACAAAGACTTTCCCTCCATAGCAAGGGGAAAGCAGCAGTAGCCATCAAACATGCTTGTGTTGAAATGGGTGAGATAATAATATAATAATCCTTGCATTTTATATAGCGCTTTTCACGTCTTCTAGACGTCTCAAAGCGCTTCACAGAATACGCTGCAAAGTGAATTGACCGTATATTTGTGGGCTCCAGAGATTGCCAGAGAAGCGTTTGAAGGTTGATGTACTTGAATAAGTTATAGTATAAATTCCATGTTTAAATGATTGCCAGAGCATTGATCACATAACTTTTTAAAAACTCACTAACAGAACAGCAGAACACATCTTTCAAAAGTTATTTAAACCGTTATGACTTCCCTCTAGAAGAGTGAGAAGAAGGAAGTCATAATGTTTAGCAAACAGTAATGTTTCAAGACGCTCCTCAGGGCAGGCTGGTACCCGAGCTGGAATCAATTTTAACTGGAGTATAATTGAGGTTCACATCTAATCATCAATGAAGAAAGTCAGCACTGAATGAAGTTCCCCAGGTTACCAAGCTAAGCCATTCAAGAAATTACCTATTTACTACAATGCTCTGGGTTGCTGTTATCAGCTGCATTCTGTACTTGTTAAGACATTGGCTGTGTCTCTGCAATAAAACTGCAACAGAGAAAATGAAACTGATAGAATGGGGTTCTTCTTCAATGTTCAATTTTTAATAAAAATGGGTTAGTTTAATATTAAGTGGCAGATCTACTGCTTCCTACTGTGCTTTGTTCACCTACAATAGCAGCAAGACTGGAATAGACAAAGAATACTGCAGACTGAAATTGTGCAATAAAGGTCAGGTAATTAACTTCCTCAAATTTGGAAAGACACATTTGGATTGTAATGGGAGAAAGCTTTTGCACAAAAGGGCACAGAGGACAAAGCAATAGTGATTCAGTCAACAGATGATTCATTAATTACTTTGTAGCACAAGTAGTTATAAGAAAGAAGATTCAGGGAGCCCAGTGAGGAACTGGAACCTCGAACAAATCCTCCATGCAGGGTGTTTGTGTGTGGGAAGTGAGAGTTTGGCCAAAGGAGTAGTTAACTGAAGCCCCACACTCATTGCTCACTGGCTCCTGGACCACACAGCACTTATACCTGTCGCACAGAGTGCTCTTGCTCTCTGTGCTCAGGTGGCTCGCAGGCGCACAACTAATCATGTACTGTCCTTACCCACAGTTGCTTAAGTGCAGGAGATTTCTAGTTTGCGCGGCAGGCTTTCTGCACATCCAGTTTGGCCAGTCTATGCCCAAAACGGGATTGGTGGCCAATTTTTGTTCATGGACCTGTTATAATGTGAAATCTAATTTTGCAGACCCCAAAACAATATTGTGACTGGGTCATCCTGTAGCTGTGTGGATAAATGAATTGCTCTGGGTATGTAGACCAGAAGGTTCCAGTTTTGAACCTAGTCTCAATGCAACGACCAACTTCAGGCAGGGTGGTCGCTAATGCATGTGGTGCAGTATTACAAAGCATCAAGTTCATAATGAATTTTACAAACTACCACAAGTTGAGCAAAAGTCAGCTTTAATTGCTTTATTTCTTGGCAGTTGGAAGAGGTCAACTTACACTGGAATGCAAGGGATTTTACAGAACTATTGACAGCTAAAAGTACAGAAACTTGCAAACGATGTTAGAATACATCAGTGGCAGCACATTTCCAGATAACTAGGACATCAATCCAATATTCTGTACCACTGTAAACTGACATTTAATTCCATCAGAATGAATTTAATGATACTTTTAGCTCCTCCTTCCTATCCAACCTTAAAACCCATTTCTCAATTTATAATAAAAAAATTAACTTAAATTTGTGACCAATGTATTTTTACATTCAATAGGCAAATAATTAAACACGTTTATGACAGTCACTGGTAGCCGTGACACCTGTTCGATCACTAGTGACAACTAGAGAGAATCTATACATTTAGAATGGATATATGCATTCAACTTTGGAAATGAAATACAAGATAGCATTGCATTAAATATATAGACCTGCCTTCAATATTGAACTGTATTTCACCATACATAAAGAATAATTTCTGAAAGGTCCACGTTTCCGAAGTGCAAGCAATTTTCCTATAGAAAAAGCACAAGCTATTGGCGCTTTTATGATAAAAACCTTTCAGCCTGGCTACATTCAGTTAGATTGTTTCAACAACTTGGTCTGCCCAACCCCTTCCTTCCCCCCAAAATATACCACAGTTAAAACACTTCCATAGTCACTCACTGAATATATACAATCCTTTTTTCACTTGCACGATTGAAGCTACAGCATTAAATACATTAATTGCATTCAAAACACAATCACCCAACAACTGAATGTAAACATAACCAGGGAATCTTCTGTGGAAATGCTCCGTTGCACGGGAATGCTGCTTTTATAGAACTGCCAGAAGCAGAATGCCAGCCACTTTAATGCGTGAAACACCAAAATCTGGCAATTTAATCTGTCCATCAAACCATTAAGAATAATTGAAAAGGCATCTGTTGCAAGCTAAGCTTGAATGACAAGCAGTGGTTCATTGTTACTGTCCAAACAGATCTAGTTACAATTCAGAACTGACTTGCACTGCTGGGATCACACTGTAATAGCCGAACAATGGATGGATCACTCTTGGCACCTTTTATGAATTCTTCAAGAGACAGTTTGCCTGGAAATAAAGTTAACAATTATTTTTCCATACCTTCCAGCAAAACAGAATTATACTGACTTAGCATGTTCTTGACATCTGAAATTGTATTTTTAAAGCATTAACATTACTTTGCAGCAATAAAATAAAATAGCATTTTAGACATACTGGTTAATATACCTTCACACATCGAGGCAAAGAGAGTGAGAGGATCACAAGAGAAATTCAGATGAAGATCGCCCATTTGATCTCCTGCTTTCAGGATATCCGCCCTATCTTGCTCTCGGTATAATGTCATGCAGATTCTTAAAGAAGCACTTTGAGATGTCTTGAAGACGTGGTAAGACGCTATGTAAAATGGAACAACAACTTGCACTTACATAGTATCCTCCAACAGAGTAGCATCTCAGGAGCTTCATCTCAGATGGAGCCCGACTCCCAAGCCAGTGGGGTTGGGGGAGGGAAGGTGATCGGGAGGTGCCGGGTAGTGGATTGGGGAGTGAGAAGGTTAGAGAAGTAGGGAGGTGCCAGGGAGTCAAAAGATTTGAACACGGTGATGGAGAGCCAGTGGAGCCCGGCCTGAGATGAGGTCACGGAGTTTGGTCTGGATAAGTATACGGGCAGCAGAGTTCAGAATAAGCTATTCTGTACAGTGAAGCTGGGGAGACCGGTGAGGAATGTGTTTGAGTAATCCAGGCAGGAGGTGACATACACGTGCATGAGGGTTTCGGCTGCAATAATGCAAGGATGATTATTATTATTATTAAGCAGTTTCCTTCCTGGCGAGTTATCTTTGCTGCAAAAACATGCTTTCTAGTGTCCTATCACAATGTTCAATAATATCAAAACCACACTAGGAATTACAATTAACTCCGCAAACTACTGGATTTGTCCCAAGGTGTCTTTTTTTTGCTTGCATTTAGAACCAACGAAATCCACAGTACAAAAGGCTATTCAGCCCACTGGTTGTGCCGGCTCCTTTAAGAGTAATCCTTTCAGTCCACATATTCTAAGATCGTCAATGTTTGGTCTCACCACGTTTCCAACGAGGGACAACATTACTCAACACACAACTTTCTAATTAATGACATACCATCATTGTTTGTGTCCATCTGCTTAAAAATCTTGTCTGTTCGTTTTTCTGGTGTGGATTCATCTTCTGGCATCTTCATTACAGATGACACCATCTTGTAAATTGCCTGAAAATAAGAAATGTGGTCTTTTGGATTACCTCAATTTATTCAACGTATAAAGCAATTAACAGCGTCATTATTTAGAGACATTTTAAATGTGTCTAGCTGGAGAGCCTGAATATTATATTCATTTGAATTGGTATCTCACATTACAAGACAAAGATCACTACTGCTGTTAAGCCATTTTTCCAATTCCAAGATAATCTCTGAATAAAACATACAGAATTATGGTTTCACGGATAAAATATTATCATAGGAAATTGTGGGGGGGGACCCCTCATGAAAATATTTTTGTAGGAACTGAAAGTCCTGAATTGAGCAAAACAAAACAGTACTTGATCCAGAACATCATTAAACAGCAAGAGACTTGGTAATACAGAGGACTGCAACAGCATTTTATCAGGGGATGAAATGGTCTGATGACATTAGTTCCTTGCAGATGTCGTTATTTTCATTTGGAAACAGATGAAGCTTAAATGAAAAGCTGGGGAGGTGGCATGGGGTCAAGTCAGGACAGCAATGAACTACTGTATTTAAAAAACTGCCTTCCAATGTAAATGTGATGTTAGTAACCTGTTACACAATAGCATTGATAATAATCCTTAATTCTTGCTTTTGATACAGTACCTATAACATTGAAACATCAATGCATTTCACAGATAATTCCTACCAAATGAAGTGAATATTTGAGGGTAAATGCGCCAGCTATTTTGGATACAGCAAAGTCCCAAACAGCCATTACGTTATCCAATTGTTGGCTAGGAAGCAAAATTACCTTTTTGATCCAACATCTTCTCAGTTATAACATCTAACTCAAAGGAAAACAAAGTGGCCCCCAAGTTTTGAACACAAGAGCAAGAAGGAAGCCTATAGACACTGTTGTCAAGTTGGGTGACTTCAACCAACCTAATACTGGAATTACTTTATAGTAATCAGAATTTATGAATATGACAGATATTGTGATCAGTGATCAGGATAGCAACATAACTTAGCATTGAACCCTTAAGGAAGCACAATCACAAAATTAATTGAATGGTTGACAGCAAACACCAGTGAGAAGCAAGAAACAATTATTTGTTATGGAACCAAACTGCAAAAGGAGAGCGGGAGGAAGACGAACTAACATTAATTAACTGGAAAATTATCAAATCATTGAAGAAACTGACAAGTACACAAGAAAAATAAATAAATTAAATATGAGAAAATGGATTCAAAACCTTCAGGGTAAGTAAAGAGCAGATTGAAGGTGTGTAGGAATCTGACAGACTTTGTTTCAGAAAAGGATGTTAGAAAAAAGTTTCATCCAAAAAAACAGTCACTCCACTTTACAATACATTCTTGAGACATCTCAACGATGTGATAAGATGCTATATCAAATTCAAGGATTATTATTATTAGAAGTGCAAACATGGCTGTGGAGAGGAGTTCAGCCTGTGAGGCTGGTATCTTGCATCAATAACGAAAGTGGTTAAGGGGAAACACCAAGGAGAAAAGGCAATGAAGGTGCAAAATTTTCTTGCAAACCTAGTTTGCCATCCAATTTCTGTAGTATGGTTATCCTAGATAATGTTGAAGTCAGGAAGAAGTTAGCACCAACCACTGTAGTTCACTTGGCCAGATCTGGCTGACGGAGATCAGGTAAAATATTTGTGGGGCTCTGGCCAACAATATGGAAGATTTGCTAAGCATTGAAAGTGGCCAGTACTTTTTATCTACTTAAAAAGGTGAGAGAAGCTTCCTATACAATTGCAGAGGCAATTAGCCCAACACCAATAAAACATGTACATAGCAATAATGTAAGAGAGCAGCAGGGATTTAGAAAGGGAAATTAAATCTGATAAAAACTAATCTTTGACATTAGAGAAAATACCATCATTTCATATTTTTAAGCAGCATTCCCTAGTTTTCAGGGAACTTAATGAAATTCCACTAAACATGTAAACTGAAAATGAGTGTTCATGAATGTTTACTGTCAGAAAGAGGATAAAACAGTTGAGTAGACCCCCAAAAGGCTACCACTGCCTACTGATGTAAATAACCAATAATTAAGCCATTCTGGTTTATAGAATCTGGCCTGTGGGGTCAAGGGCAGGTCTATGTTTAAATAGTTACTGAAGACCCATTTTGTTTGTGCCAGATGGGTCTCAGTGCTAATCCAATGATAGTGAGAACCTCCCTCCCCACTGGTGGAATAGGTTTAGACATGGCACTGGTAAGTCATCAAGTTTGAATGAACTAACATTTGAACATAGAACTTTCAGATACTCACACTCAACCAGGATGATTTTAGGATGCGCAAAACTGTACTCAAATCATAGATTTAAAATTTAAAACATTAGACGTTATAAAATGAGTTAATTTTATGGACTTTAACCCAAAATTAGATATGGTAATCTTACACATGAATTCTAAGGAAAGCTTAAAGGTCTAAGTATAAATTTGGAACATTTCCTAGTTTAACCTTTTCAAATTTGTAGGGAACTAAATGGCATAGTAGATGAACACTTCTCTTACACCTAGGTGGTCTAACTCAGACTGACAGGAAGGATGAGAGCCTCAGCAATCTCATTGAGGTCATAAAGATAATCCTTACATTTGATACAGTGAGAACACCTTAAAGCTCTGTGCAATTTTCTGTGAAACTATCAATTATTTGTAGGCAAACGCGGTGACCAATTTGCACACAGCATTGTCCCACAAACAGCCATGAAGTGAATGGTCAGTTTATCCGGAGAATGTTGAACGCCCTTCTCTTTTTTGAATAGCGCCTTGGGATCTTTAACATCCATTGGCATAAGCAGAAGGAACACCTAAAATAAAACAAACTCCTAAAACTAGAGTTGAATTTTCCTGAATGTAAACTTTCCTCTCAGGACACAAAGAAAATCTAAGTTAAATGAGGAGGTTCTACCATTTTAATGTATCGGAAAGAAGTCCAATGCATTAAAATGGTAGAACCACTTCACAAAAGGAGTTATCCTCTGACCACCGGGGAAGGCTGATATAGAACAATTTGAGATAATTTACAATTAGAAAGTATTAAGAAAAAAGTATCTGTTCTGATTCGAAGTAGCCCTTCCCAACATTCAAGGTTTATACAGTATTCTGTCAATACATTTACAGCTGTGCATCGTTTGACAGTATAGAATGCACAACTTATACTGAGTTTTCAGCATTAACCAGTCTGTCTAAGCATTCTCCCAAGAGAAACTAAGTCAAAACGCACAACACAGCTCGTGCACATTTTTTACTGCGTAGTACAAGCAAAATCCTAGAATGGGACGTACTTTGACAGGAAGGAGGATAGGGAAAAAAACACTCCAAATAGTGGGATGCAAGAAAGACGAGATTAAAGTTTTTGGTGGAAATGGAAGCTGAACGTCCCCACTTGTGGACAATGCGAGTGGGTGGGGGGGAAGGGGCAAAGGAAGAAAGAGAAATATTTGTACCTGTACAATCTCCAGCATTTCACCTCGACTGATGTAACCATTTCCATCCAGGTCGTACATACTGAATGCCCACTTCAACTTCTGTTCAAGCTTTCCTCTGGAGGTGACACTAAGGGCAATTATAAATTCTCTAAAGTCAATAGTCTCGTCAGCATTCGTATCAAAGGTGCGGAATACGTGCTCTGCAAACTTTGAGGCATCCCCATACGGAAAAAAGTTTGCATAGATTTTCTTGAACTCCTCAACAGTTAAGTGGCCACTGGGGCAATCTTTCAGGAAACCTTTGTACCACTCTTGGAGCTCGTGGTCTGTGAATTCTGTATTTTCTCGCAGATCCTGAAGTACCTCTGGACGAAGCTTGCTATTCTGCTTTCCCATCCTCTCGATTTTTATTTAAACCTGCGTGAACAGAAAAACATCTCAATGTAGCTTGTGAATTACTGCAGCAACCTTAGCCCTGCTGAACAAGCAAGCTTTATATAGTCAGAACAAACAGTGATGTCTGGCACACAGCTGCCCCTTTTTTAGAAATAATCTTTCACAATCATCAGTCATGAATGAAATATGTAAATCTTCAAGTATACAAGATCCCCATAGCCTTATTTTCTTTTGTTTCTTCATTCATTCCACAATAGCTGGAATCAAAGATTATGGTCACACAATAAAGACTTGTGTAGGCAAACTTGACAGCCATTTTGTGCACAGCAACAGCTCACAAAGTGAATCTCACTGTATTAAATGGACGACCAATTTAACCGGATTGTCGGCCAGGACACCCGGATAATTTGGCTAATTTACATTTGGAATAGGGCCATGGCACTTTAACAACACCTAATAATAATAATAATAATAATAATCCTTGCATTTGATATAGCGCTTTTCACGTCGGGAGGACGTCCCAAAGCGCTTCACAGAACACACTGTAAAGTGAATTGACTGTATATTTGTGGGCGAACGCGGCAGCCAATTGCGCACAGCAATGTCCCACAAACAGTCGTAGATTGAATATGACCAATTTATTATTGTTTTTGGTTTTGGAGGGATTATTATTAGGCTCTGTGTGGAGTAAGGAAACTTGCCCAAGGTTTCGCCCTCTGCCTGGAATTGAACTCAGGTCTCTCGCTTGCAAAGCGAGTGCTCTAACCACTGAGCTACAGGACTCCTAAACAATCAAACTCAATATTTCCAGGTTCAACATTTCAACTGAAGGATGACACCTCTGGCAATGTTGTGCACCCTAGGCCTGCACTGGAGTGTCACCTTAAACAAGATTTAGTGCGTCTCATTTTTTGGAATTAATTGGATTTTTCAAGGTTTCTTTTCAGCAATATTTTAAAGCAAGTGTGTAAAAATCAGGAGTTTCTGGGCTTCTATTGCTGAACTGAGAAGAAGCCCCTCATGCAATACAAAACTACACTGTATAGCGCATTGTTGGGTGTCACCCGCTTACATGTGGAAGTTGACCCCTTGACTGTGGTTGATGGCACAAAGAGGGATTTCGAGATAAATAATGGTGCCTCATGCGTGTGCCTCCCTGATCTTACATACATTTCACAGAGGAGAGGTGTTGAGCAACACATGCGTAGTTACCACAGCAGGAATCCAGCGAGAGCAAACGAGAGACAAAACCTCACCTCGGAGTTCCATCAAGGCAGATATTTGTGGGGTTTTTCTGGTGTTTATTGGATAAACACCAATTTAATTTTGTTTTAATTGGGGTTCATGAATTAAAACCAAAAAATTCAGAAGCCCCAACTATGATCTTAAAATCTTGACATGGGCTTGAACCACAACCTTTTGATCTAAATGAGAAGAAGCGTTACCAACTGATTCCTTGACTTAAAAATGAGATTGCAAACCTCTTAAAAAAAAAGCCACACACACGGTGATTTCTACACTTCCCTCCTCCCAGTCCTGGAGTCACATGAAGACTCAGCAGATCTACAAAGACAGACTAAGTAGTGTGGAACTTGCATCTTAGGCCTCTGTACAAAAGGCCGCTGGGAGGACTTGCAGCCCTCGCAATCTCAGTAACTCAAACTCTTTGTAAACCAAACAAAGACAACCTTTTAAACAGTTCTGCTTTAAACTCAGGATGCACAAAACATTGCGTCATTACAACTATAAAATTATAAAATGAGACTGTGCTTTGTTTATTCAGTATTTTAATGCATTTGCTATCATAATATTTGCGGGCAAACGCATTAACATCGAGGCTGTTGGGCTATCTGGGCATACTTGAATATTTGCTCAAGAAAAATTTAATTTTTGTAAAGTTTGTTTGCAAGCAGCTGTTTCCTTCTACTTAAACACTAAGAGGACAGAAAATTAATTCAACCAACCAACAGTGCATCTGTTGGTGTTGCTGCTTTCTAAAGTGGATTTTTATTTGGTCAACTGAATATCTTGACAGCAGATGCCATTGCTGTGCTTAAACAGTCAACTGCACCACACAAGATTCTATTTATACAGGGTGGCCAAAAAGTCATGGAACCACTATTTCTTTAAGTCTTAAAGAAATAAAAATAATTATTTTTAAAACAAATGGCATCATGATTTTTGGTCACCCTGTATGTGCCAATGCTGGAATGCTCAACCTTATAATAGTGAGATAGGGTGTGTGGTGGGGGGAAGCCAGCTCATCTATACATGGAGAACATAGGCATATGGTCAGAGGCTAACGCTCAAGGGACCTTAGTTACTGCTACTCTATTCAGCTACCCTGAGAAATAAGTCTCAACCAACTACTGTATTCTCCCTGAATACAATAGTTGGTTGAGAATCTAGTTCCACAGTGGACCACACAGGTTGTATTCTACAGATGTAGATTTCCCATTTCAGCAGCTCGGACCGCACGCACATTATAACATGGGCCAAATAGTTCTTTTGTGCAGAAAATGTTTGATTTCCAATGAGATGTACTTTAATGCATTATTTTCCTCGATGTGGACGAGATTACTCGGGCTGCCAAATTATAGTTTGCCAAATCACACAAAATGTAAGAGCCAAGTGCCTCAAAACGCAACTCTGACTGCGCTCCAGTCATCTTTGCCCTCCTCTAGACTCCCACTATGAGGGCCTATTCAGCACTGTGCAGACACGAAAGCCACTAATGTAAGCTGTATTGCACCATGCTATATTGCATGCTGTAGAATGGTTATGAGGCACAGGCCGATCGTGTTATAAGCGCAGGGTGGACCCGCAGTATACTAAAAATGTGGTGAGGCATCCTGGGCCAACTAGCTGGTTTCTGCCCGAAGCACCTTGGTACAGATGATCTTCCAGGATCCAGCAGTTTCCCGACCAATAAAAAACTCAACGTGAGTGGCGCATGACCTCCTGTGCAGCGCATGAAATGCTGCACGCAGTAAGTGGCGTTCCAGAACACTGGAAGCTATTTTTATAGCATGCCCAGTTATAACAAGTCTTGCTTTTTATCTGGTGCCTTATCACGTCAACATTAGTCTTGTGTAAAAAAGATTTGTAGGCAAACCCAGCAGCCAACTTGCACACAGAAGTATCCCACAAACAGCCATAAATTGAATGAACCATTTCTCTGGAGGATTATTAGTCATGACAATGGGAGATCCTCCCTTCTCTTTCCCAATAGTGTCGTGGGATCTTTAATGTCCACCTGAACAAGCAGACAGGACCCAGAATAATCTCATCCAAAAGACAAAACAGGGTCTAATTTTATGGATCCAAACAACTGTGTTATAACAGGAAACAAAAGGCAAAATACTGCAGATGCTGGAAATCTGAAATAAAAACAGAAATTGCTGGAAACACTCAGGTCAGGCAACATCTATAGAAAGAGGAAAGTGAGTTAATGTTTCAAGTCAATGACCTTTCGTCAGAACGCCTTCTTCAGAGCTCTGATGAAAAGTCATTGACCTGAAACATTAACTCACTTTCCTCTCTCCACAGATACTGCCTGACCTGCTGAGTGTTCCCAGCGACTTCTGGCGTTATCACCGGGTCTGACACTGTATGGAATGAAAATCCATCATCTTTTATCATTACAGGATAAGTGCATATTCTATCAAACTGGCTTTTAACAGACTAACACATGCTGCATCAGATGACTTAATACTTAAAAGCAACACGAGTATACTTTACCGTTATATTTTCCAGAAGATATCTTGCCTTTAAGCTTCACATCAACTATTCTCACAATAGTAAACCTATACATTTAAATTAATACATCAGTTATTAAATTCCCATCAATCCACAGTTGCTATTCTCAATTTGAGTTATTGCAGTTTATTCCTCTCAATAGCTCTCAAAAACGCAAACTTCCAAATTAAGGTTGGATTTAAGAATTTTTCACAATTCTGCAGCAGGCAAACTTTAAGATCAAACTGCCTTGCAGGTTAAGGCGAGGTCAAATTTCTGGCTCATGGTCCTATACCAAAAAAGCAAAAAAGATGAATTATATGTCAATATTCCGTGAGTTATATTTCAATTGAATCAAATCAATTTAATCTTTTAAAAAATCGTTCACCAGAGACTTGGAAAAAAAAACACATTCGTTGGGACATTCCTAACTTTTTTGAGCAAATCCTGCCCACCTCGCATTCCATCCATTACACGTTCAAGTCTATCACTTACAGATGAGTTTAACCGCTGAGCCCAACTGTACACACTTTCCTTTTGCTTACGCTCTGTAAAACAAAGCAACTTCCTAAAATGATATAATCATAGAATCTTACACCACAGGAGGCTGCCATTTGGCTCATCGTGCTACTCGTTATAGATCCGAGCTTTTCCAATGGAGTTCTGTTAATACCATTCAGCTGCTCATAGCCCAGAATCTTTCAACATTTTTACTCAAATGGTTATCCAATTCCCTGTTAAGCCCCGTTAGTCACAAAAGCCGTTGGCAGTACAACATTCCACATTTTAATACTCCTCGTTTAAAAAGATTATTCCAATTTCTCCCTTTTTTCCTTCAGTGATAATTCTCAATTTACACCTGTTAAGAGACCGTTTGCAACAATTATTTGCTGAATTTCAGTCTGTCCAGTTTTCAAAGGGATAATATTTGCAGTAGGTGGCTGTCGAGCAGTGCAATCACAAAAGGTTTGGGAAGCTGCTGGAGACGCTGCATAAGCATTTGCTAATAAAGATCAATGATCACCTTTCTATTGAACATTTTCTACTCCGAATATCTCCACGGTTTTGGTCTCGGAGGTCAGCTAACAAATTACTATTTTAAATGAGATTCAATTAAAATAGAAACATTTATTTTTCTAACTAATATCAGTTGGTACATGCATTTGGACAAGACATTTTAATGCCTTGGAATGCTATTCAGAGCCCTACTGAAATAATTCATCAGAACCGACATTTGTTTTTAAAGCCCTATTAGATTTTGAAAGCTGAATGTACTTGGACTG